TATTATTGACTTGGAGTTAGACCCACTTTAAAAAACGTTAACCTTGGTTATCATTTTAAACAGTTCTTACTAGAGCTTTCGCATGTCTTAATAATCGAAGTTGCTCAGTTTAAAATGCAAAAGACCGAATTTAAGCTAGGTATTTTCTTCATCTCACAACGACCCCCCCCCCCCAAATCTACAAGAGTGAGAAGATGTGAATGTACTCTTTCTTCTCTTAATTATATAGATGATGCGAAACATTGTCATGCAGAATTGTACATGTTCTATTTTCAAGCAGCTGTGTACGTGTACGCTAACATGCTATGTACAAGTTCAATGAAAAAATCGAGTTTGACATTGATGATCAACTACATGAATTTGCAGCAGACTACTGCAGTTATGTTATATTCTGTTCATTGTATGATTTTAGTGGGCTTTAAATGTTTCTGCACAAGTGTATGTGGCCAAACTTTACAAAATTTTAAAATGGGAAAAGCGTTTTTAAGAAGGTTTATAACATATAGGATTTATTATGGGTAAGAGACTTAATTTTTAATGACTCTTAATTCTGATATTTTCTGACTATTAAGGTATATATGTAGAGATTGGATATTCCAAAGTTATTTTTCCTTGATGGCCCTCATGGCCGTGGTCTATGAAAAGTGACCTTGATACTGTCCGTCTGGTCAGCGATGTACTTGAATCCATCCTTAAAGTCAGAATTTTTAGCTAAATTGGCTTAGATATACGCGTTTCAACGATTTGTTATCAATTGAGTGAAATTTGAGTAAAAACTGGCATTGAATCAAGTTGGTTAAACTTACATTCACGATCAAAATTGGGTTGTATGCCCAACGAAAAGTTGTAAAATATTACAATATTATATAAGTCGCGGTATACTTATACTGTGATCTATATGTTTATGCTTTCTCATTAATAGAGTTACATGTATGTTTGAAATTTGAAAGGCCATTGGGCCTTATTAATATACATGTACACTTATGACTTATGGTTTAATTAAATTTATACAATAGTTTAATTCTTTTGTTGTGAAATTTCTTTAATATATTCAATATCTGTTCTACAATATTTGCATTTTTGATTTAATAATGGTTTATCCCCCTCATTTCTTATAATGCAATATTTCCCTGGCACAACTTTTATGTTTTCACGTTATTATCCCATTAATTTATCGGCTGTTAGGCCTTATAACATCTTTGTTCATTCTTTCAACAGAATCCGCTAAATATTTGAATATTTACACCCCTTCGCCTCCTCCCCCGCACTAAAATGTTGTATACGGTAAATCTTCCGCTAAAATGTCCATTCACACCTTTTGAACTCAGAAGTACCGCAATTTCTTATGTCCTTTTACTTGTTGATTGGGAAGAAGAAGGGGGGGGGGGGGTAAACATCTCACTCTTTGTATCGGAACTCCTCGATCTCTATTGGTACTTTCACTTTCTTTTTGTGTAATCGTGTTGACATGACAGTTGAGTTGTCGGTCCTCCGTCCTGATTCAGTTTATATGTAGTATTTTCACTTGATCTTGGATAATATTTAAGTATTAGCGGGGTTCTACATTCATCAAACATGGGAAATGAGAAGAGGACCGTTCTGATTACAGGTATGTCAATTAAAAAACAGTAAAATTAAGGAGAACATGTATGGCTAGACCACAATCAAATCCGGGACCCCAGTTTCATTAGTCAGGTCCTCTTCCGACTGCTACCCAGGCCAATTTTCATGGCCATAACCATTAGGGGCATTATAAATTCCTCCCTCCGTAAATTGTTTTCGTCTTTGAAGACACATCACCTGAAAGAATCCACATATGCAATTTCTATTCACAGTTGTTTCACATATATGATATAAAAATAGTATATATGTTTGTGAAACACTGTGAATAGAAATTATATACCAAGTTGGGGGGGGGGGGGGATCAAATTATACTACAATTTAGCATGATAAACTGTGTATTGAAGTATTTGTTTGATTTTTATGCACCCGGATCGATAGATCAGGAACGTATATTGTTTTTAGCTCACCTGAGCCGAAGGCTCAAGTGAGCTTTTCTGATCACATTTTGTCCGTCGTCCGTCCGTAAACTTTCACATTTTCGACTTCTTCTCAAGAACCACTGGGCCAATTTTGACCAAACTTGGTACAAAGCAACCTTGGGTGATTTAAATTGTTAAAATGGATATCCCCTCGCAAGGGGAGATAATAGGGTTGGGTCATTAAAAAATCTTCTTCTCAAGAACCACTGGGCCAGTAAAGCTGAAACGTATGTGGAAGCATCCTGGTATAATGTAGATCCTAAATTGTTCAAATCATGACCCCCGGGGGAAGGGCGGGGCCACAATGGGGAATCAAAGTTTTATATAGAGATATATAGGAAAAATCTTTGAAAATCTTCTTCTCAAGAACCACTGGGGCAGAAAAGCTGAAACTTATGTGGAAGCATTGGTATAGTGTAGATTTCTTGTTCACATATGATGGGGAATCAAAGTTTTACATAGAAATATATAGGAAAAATCTTTGAAAATCTTCTTCTCCAGAACCACTGGGCCAGTAAAGCTGAAACTTATGTGGAAGCATCCTGGTATAATGTAGATTCTAAATTGTTCAAATAATGACCCCCGGGGGAAGGGCGGGGCCACAATGGGGAATCAAAGTTTTATATAGAAATATACTGACACGCAAAAGAAACGCAACACCCTACTTTGGGGGAAATAATTATGTAAAGTAAAGAATTTTGTATCTTAAAATTATGGATATCTTCAATTTGGTAAATATCGGTAATTTAACGGTTGAACGATTTTCGTACCATAACCGGAAGTCAAGTTTGAGTCTGCTTAACAGAAATCAAAAATTGCATGTTTAACAAAACATTTGGCAATATTATGGGAGTTTTAAGAGTTTATACTGTTCATCTTAAGTAAAGCAGCAATATTTCAAAAAATAAAATCTCCTTTCGTTTCCCGTTACGATGCTAAGGCTTCTCGAAAATGGCTTAAGTAAGCATTTCCATTGCCTTAATTGGAAAATCTCAATGTAAAGGTGTTGGAGAGTTGATGATGCAAAAATATACTGCATTACGCCTCAACGGGGTCTTATGTATCAAATGCATAAATGATAGTCCTTGGACCGGAAGTCCAATGGTTACTACAATGCGCTAAGTTAGAGAAAATTCGACCTAATCATCTCAAAAACAGGCATTTAAAAATGGCAAAGAATTATTCCTTCGCTCAGATCTCGATATTGATTAACCTACTGTATCGTAAAAATTAAGCTGCAATTGTTGTTTAGGACAGTCTTGCACGTTGTAATTGAATTGCTGGGAGGGGGGTGTTTTAACAGTCATATGTTACTTAGTAAAGTTAAAAGATAAACACTTAACATTTTTATCAAATCCCTGATGTTCTGAAAAGTGAGTTTAGCCTTATTGTATTCTTTTTTGAAAATCATTAGATAAAAAATTCAAACATTTGTAGATTACTGGTGGTTGCGTTTCTTTTGCGTGTCAGTATATATAGGAAAAATCTTTGAAAATCTTATTCTCAAGAACCCCTGGGCCAGAAAAAGTGAAGCTTATGTGGAAGCATTCTGGGGTAGTGTAAATTCTAAATTGTAGGAATCATGACCCCCGGGGGAAGGGCGGGGCCATTAAATCAAAGTTTTACATAGAAATATATAGGAGAAATCTTTGAAAATCTTCTTCTCAGGAACCACTGGGCCAGAAAAGCTGAAACTTATGTGGAAGCATCCTGGTATAGTGTAGATTCTAAATTATTCAAATCATGACCCCCGGGGGAAGGGCGGGGCCACAATAGGGTATCAAAGTTTTACATAGAAATATATAGGAAAAATCTTTGAAAATCTTCTTCTCAAGAACCACTGGGCCAGTAAAGCTGAAACGTATGTGGAAGCATCCTGGTTTATTGTAGATCCTAAATTGTTCAAATCATGACCCCCGGGGGAGGGCGGGGCCACAATGGGGAATCAAAGTTTTATATATATATAGGAAAAATCTTTGAAAATCTTCTTCTCAAGAACCACTGGGCCAGAAAATATATTATGTGGAAGCATTCTGGGGTAGTGTAAATTCTAAATTGTAGGAATCATGACCCCCGGGGGAAGGGGGGGGCCATTATAGGGAATCAGAGTTTTACATAGAAATATATAGGAAAAATCTTTGAAAATCTTAGGAACCACTGGGCCAAAAAAGCTGTATGTGCCCATGGAAGGATCATGGGGTATGTAGATTTCAAAATGTCTAAATTATGATCAGTGGGGTAGGGTGGGGATGCATTATGTATAACAAGGGGGAAATCTGGTAAAGAACAGAATGGTCAAAGCTTCTCAGGTGAGCGATGTGGCCCATGGGCCTCTTGTTGTCCTGTCTGTTTGTCTGTTCATCTGTCTGTCTGTTGTCAACTATGACCTTTGCCATAACTTTTGAACCATGGGAGATAGAGACTTCATATTTGATATGCATACTCCACTTATTGAGTTCTTTCAAATCACACCAAGGTCAATGACCTTGTTACCTTGACTGTGACATATATGCTAAAAATAGTTTCTTCGAACTTTCGCCATAACTTTTGAACCATAGGAGATAGAGACTTCATATTTTATATGCATACTCCACTTATTAACTCTTTCAAATGACACCAAGGTCAATTACTTTGTAACATTCACTGTGACCTATATGCTAAAAATAGTTTTTTCAAACTTTGTTGCCACACCGGGCGCATAGTGTTTCACATACGCATCTTGTTTCAAAAATAATTTTCATAACAAAAGTACTCTTGATTATTTCAGGATTTGGACCTTTTGGGGAACATTCAGTCAATGCCAGCTGGGTGGCTGTACAGAATCTGAAGAGGAGAAACTTGTTACCTGATGTTAACGTCCATATTGAAGAAATCCCAGTAGATTATCAGGAGGTCAGCCAGATTGTACCAGAGCTGTGGAAACAGAAAGATCCATCGGTACTGTGTTCTGATACATGTATCTGATGTGGAAAGTCAGAATGCTATGATTGTCTGATAAAGTGTATTCAGATTAAACCTTAAGTATTCCTTTAAATAAATTATTGATCCTTTATTATTAAAGACTAGTATGATGATACTTGCATAGAACAATTGTCTTATTTCCACATAAAACATGCTTTTTCCTTTGTTTTTAATTGTTCATTTTGAACATGTTGAATGGGAAATAATGTTAATAAACTATAGAATATTCTTATTAATAACTTTTCCAACTACATTCCAGGGATGGATTAAAGTGAGGGCACATATTGCTTCTCCCCTTTCAGGCACATAGCAACAGGGGGGCCTGCCCCCCCTTTTTTTCCCAACATTACCTTTACTGTTGAAAATGTCTATTGAAAGGTGAGTTGGCCCCCCCACTTCTTACCACAATATAGTGATATAAAGGAAATGTAGTATTGTATGCCAAAAAATTGGAAGTGAGAAGGAAGTTGGCCTTGAAAAAGATTGGCCATTACCCCCCCCCCCCCCCCCAATTTTTTTTTTCTTGGTGCCCCCCCCCCCCCCCACTTTCAAAAACGATGCTAAGTGCTTGCTTTAAAACAAATTTTTTTTATATAAACATGTACCAGCAGTTTCCATTGTCATACATTGATCTAATAATAAATGAGGTTAAAGTTCATGTATGTACATGTATGTTCAGTTAACACTCACTAATTGCTGATTCCAAGAAGCTTAATGTAGCTTAGTTCCAGGCTGTCCTTGATATCTGGGGACTTTGACTGAAGCCTATTTCCTTGCAATCTAATAGCATCTCTCTAAAATCCTGGATCCTTGCCTGCACACATAGCTCTAACAGGTTGACTTGGAAATTTTTTCTTAATTTTTAGCTAGTTGTACATGTTGGAGTCTCAGGAATAGCAAATAAAATAACCTTAGAACAGAGGGCTCACAATGTAGGTTACCATCGCAAAGATGTCAAAGGTCAAACTCCTTATAAGGAGTGCTGTAGGGAGGAGGGGGAGGAGTGTATCTGTACAGGGCTGGACATGAGTCGAGTCAGTGATGAGATCAACAATGCAGATAATGAGCTGAAAGCAGAAGTCTCAGAGGATGCTGGCAGGTATGGATTGAGAAATCTTTTGGTACAGTTCCTTTTGGTGTTAATTTTAAATGTAAACAGTGGAACCTCATTAATCCAGATAAAAATTAAAATGCTTTTAATTCCAGACAAGATTTATGGGAAACATAATTTACATTTATATCTACCAGTTATTATCTAAAAAATATTTTTAGTAATCCAGAGCCTTTATATATCTGGATGATTTGCTTATGAATAAGTATCCTGATTTTGTGGTTGAACTGTACATGTAGAGGCTTGATTTATTCTCATAGCCTTTCTAGTAACTTTTCAAAAGGAGTTCATGCATCCCTTCCCCATCTTATCCTGGTAGACTGATTTTAACGGCATACCAGTGCTGATATACTTTTGTTCTTGCACATATTCAAAAAGCATACGAAATGGAAAATGAACCTCTAGATATTTTCAATGATTATAGCTTTACAATATATATTTTGACTGGTCAAAAGAAAACAAGTCAAATCACATGACAGTATGTACAAATATATCCGATATTTCAATTATTATATTAATCTGACATGTATTTATATTTTAATTATAACAGGTACTTGTGTGACTTTTCCTATTACACTTCCCTGTCAATCAACAAGTCTCGCTCCGCCTTCATTCATGTCCCGCCCCTGGATGAGCCGTATACAGAGGATCAGTTAGGAGCGGGATTAGCTGTGGCCATTTCCTCAATGCTGAAGCAACTCTCAGAGTGATGCTAAATAAGTACTTCTGTAAAAGGCATCAAACTTGATCAATATTTAATTGTTTTTGCATGCCTTTGTTGGACTTCAAAAATTGAAACCATGCGGTCTACAGCATAAAATTTAAGCATTCTCACAATGTTTAGGTGATGTTTTCAAATGCTTTTGAAGTAAAGTTGTTAAGCAGTTTGTTGAATCAGAAATGTTTATAACCAGAGAACTTCAATAATTCTTTTCATGCAATGCTATATATTATGATCGATGATCAAGTAATTTATCTTTAATATGTTTAAAAAAACTTAAACATATTTTTTGAATTGTTAGAACATCAGCCAATGATAGCATTATGAATTATTGCTGATCAATTGTGTTTATATAACCTAATTCTTGTCACAATTTTTAATTTTGTTGGTTTGCTGGCAGAAAAATTAACATGATAAATACTAAATTCAGGGCAGAAAACTGAATTGATTACAGCTGAAGAAAGGGGGGAAAACAAGAGTGCAAAAGAGCAATATCAATATTGTTTCCAATAATTCAATTTTACATGTCTTATACTGTAAACGTGGTTATATTGACGAGTTGAAAAATTGACGATTTTTTATTTATGAAAATTGACGAGTGTTAATTTTGACGAAATATTGAATCAAGTTAGGTATCTTTGAATTTACAAAGTAAAAAATGAATTAGACCTTCTACGGTGTGTAAGATTGTACAAACCCTATAAGTATGCAAGACCCGATAACATAAATAACCCTTTTGTATTTCAAGTTTCATTATTAGCGATCAATTGCCTGAGGTGACAAATTTGGTAAAGCTAGGCGTGATAATTACGCTAAGTTATGCATACATTAGTTTAGAATAAATAGTTTTTTTAAAAAGTGTGATTATATATCACTATGTTTTCATAACTAATTACAAAGGATATTAACAGAACTTTCATCTAGTTTTAATACGGGAAAACCGAGAAAATTAAGCGGTAAAGTTGTACAATGGTCAATGTCTGTTGTGACGCTATAAATATATACATGTATGATTTGAAGATTGCCGAGTGTAAATTTTGACAAGAAAAGAAAAGTCGTCAATATAGTCAAAATTAGCACATCGTCAAAATTTCCACGTTTACAGTATGTCTAATGTGATTGACATGTCCTCAAGATATTTCAAATATTTTGACCTTTATTCCATATTTTCATGTAATATACACTTTGTTGTATTTTGGTACATTCAAAGAGTGCAATATCTAATTCAATAAATTATTGAATATTTCTTGTCTTCTTACTTTTCACTTTACAGCAATGATCAATCATCAAAGACAAGAAAAAAATTATATTTAAACAAGAACTGATATACAAATAGTTGCAATTCCTATGGGTGCTAATTGTGCTCCTTTATTAGCTGACCTACATGTATTTTATATCTTTATGAAGCAGAATTCATTCAAAAACTTCAGAACTTGAGAAAAAAAACAACACTTGTTGTGTATTTGATATATCACAGTGAACTTAAAATAAAAGACACTGAAAAGTTTGCCACATATGCTTTGTATCTGAAAGTATTGCTTACTAAAGATGAGACTTTAGTTGCTCCATCGATAACTTCCTTATTTAAGTCAGCTGCTTAATCTAGTCATGTATTTTACATACAATATGTTCAAATAAAATTGAGCTGATCTTTATTTCAAGAGTGATAATCCTATATGGAACTGAAAAAGAGGTTTTAGGTTATGTGTTGAAAATTTCTTTCTGCATAAGAATAAATCATATGAAGACAATATAAATTCATGTATTTATTTAAAATATATTTATTGCCTCAATCAGCATCAGAAACTTTACTAGAAGGTGAAAAGTATAAGGTAAAACTCGGGGCATCTCTAAATAGCCATAAACATTTTACAAGTTTCAAAAAATAAAAGTTTAACAAAAAAACTGACAAAGAAAGAAATCAAATAAATAAAGAAAACATACAAATGTCAATTTCTGAATTCTTAACTGCATATCCAATTAATACAGAACTGAAAGAAAATGAAACACACTACGAGTCCAGCATCTTCGCTATTCAAGGGTTTCCTATTCGAAATCTACCTGATTTGGATTGGAAACCCTTGGCTAGCTAAGATGGAATTTCAGAAGATGGACAGAAATCACTCATCATACAATGTGAACTCATTTTAGAAAGTTTGACATTCAATTAGCATGTCAGACAGTTATGATCTGGTAACCACAATCATAACTAGACCCATCAGATATTTCATTCACCAAATGAATTTGAATTCATAATTTTGTGAAGCTAATAATTTAACACTATCATATTGCACAATGTGCTTGAATATTATCTAAATAAGAACACATGCAGTAGTACTCTACAAATAAGATTAAATTGAATACAATATTTTCCAGTATAATAATTGTGTCCATCGACTAATATTATATTAACCAGTTCACTTCCAAATTCATTTGTTTATCATTTCTTGTACATAGAAAACTATAATCACTTTACAGTATTTTTTTTAGTTAAGTGCGAGACTTCATTGCACAGGTAGATTTCTCAGCTCTATCTTACATTCTATAAATGTTTGTGACTATTTTTTAACAAATAGGTCTACACCCAAATAAATTATTAACAAAGTATATTTATAAAGTAAATGAAAGATGATTTAACAAGAACAAAGAAAGAAAGCATAGATTCTTATGATGATATGTAAATAAAATAAAACAGTTTTACTCACAGAAAAGAAATAAACCATATATATAAATTATTTGATCAACAGAAACCGATACATGTACAACATACAATGAATAATTGGTACCCGTATAAATGGATAAACTGGGCATTTGTCCCATTTGCTTTTTATCTAATTAGATTATTCAGATCATAATCGAATTTGTTGTTTTCTATTTATGTATCTTCCTTCATTGATAGACTGATTTTCATGGGGAAAGGCTTTGTAAATCCATCAACATTTTGTGTTCAATTGTTCCTTTTAAAGCCATTTGAAATTTCTTTTTGAATTATACTTTTTAAACAAAGATCTTAATACTGGTAACAATCGAAACTGTTCTCATTATCAAAAATACATGAATTTACTGGTACATAAATTAATTTGAGTTGGAGAGAAGCACTATAAGACATTCAATGTAACAAGTCTGTAAGTCTAGGGGGGTCATTTATTATGTTAATCCGAGGCTCTGGGCCATATTGCTCACATTTATTCTTCCAAAAAAAAAAAAAAAACTTGTTAGCCAAAAAACTTTGTGAAACCTAACATAAATTAAAATAAGCTATCAAATCAGGATGATACCTTCAATCAAAGATATACAAAAAAAAAAATTAGATTATATTTATATCTGTTTCAGGGTATCTTTTCCTTTTTTTTGAAATAAAAATCTTAAGGATAGCAAAAGATAAACAATTTGAGCAGTTGGTCAATTTCATAGTTAGAATACTGATGACTGTCAGCAAGTTAGAATTATTTTTCCTTAAAAAAATATAACATCTTAAAATACATTTCTTTAATAAATATTTTGACTGTAAAAATATGGTTGAAGTCCAATAAAGAAAAATTGAACATTGTTATTACAGTAACAGCAACAACAAAAATGCAACTTACGTCTATTTTTTGTTTTTAATAATAAATGGTTTTAGTGTGATTTTGTTTAACTATGTCTAATTTTCTTGTATGCTTTACAAAAGGGACATAACTGCCACAGAAAAAAAATGCTATTCCAATTCAGTTCAAGATAATTATATATATGCCCAATACACATTTTATTAAAAAAAGAATGCAAAAAAATATAAGATTTTTAAAATGTTTGGTAAAATGATAAATATCACTTGAACACATCAATGTCAATTATGAGGAATAGGGGAGTTCAGCATTACTGCTACATATTGCATAAAAAAACCCTCATCACTGCTTACTTTTCATAAAATTCTGGTGCTTTATCTTATCAGTTAGACAAAGGGTTAGTCACTGATGAATATTAAGTTAAAAAAAAAAATTAAGTGTCTTTTCATAAAGTGAAAAATCCTATCCTGCTTTAAGTCCTACTTTTACCTCCTCTTGGTGAGGGAGGAAATCAGCTCTTATGTACGTACACATTTTTAAAAAAAAATTCAGTACATATATAAGATGCTGGCTAATAGAAGAGGCATATGCCTTTTTTTTCAGTGATGATTTATTTTTGAAAATGTAGCAGTAATGCATCAAGGAATAGATGGCCAAGAAGTACTCTTGTTTTTACGTTAACAAAGTGATTCTCAGTAACACTCTGCCAAAAGAGTTGATATAAATGCAAAAGAAGTTGTTCCCAAACAAAAAGAAGGTACAACAAAGTACCGCAAATGGTGGGCACTTTCACTCGCCTGGGATCCAAACCCCAAGATGGTGAATCGCAAGGGAGAAAAGCACAAAAAAAACTGATAAAATAATGTGAATTACATGAAAAGTACGAGAATAAATACAAAAAGAAATAACATATGGATTGGCACTTCTATGTGAAATTTACAACATGAAATAACATATTTTTCAAATGAAACCCAGAAATATATACCTTTCAAAATGTTTTAAAAAAAGATTGTAACTGACTGTATATATTTTAGTATTTGATTTTGCTAATTAAATCATTAATACAAATGTAATATTATTTATAAATAAAGAAAACTTTTTGTCTCTAAAAATAATGATAAAAATTCTAAAACCTGATTGTTAATATGCAATGGTACCAGGTACATATAATAATAATAGTAACACTCATCATTAACTTCCTCTAGCTAACAATTTCCCTATCTAAAATAACAACATATAACAGACTCTTACTTTCAAAAATAAATAAATTTTCTATAAATGTCCCGGCCATTAAAGCTTTTCACAGAACACAACATGTTTATCCGGATCATGGTGATCATGGTTTTCTATCACTACTGCTGTGGTACTGTTCTCGCCAACGGAAACATTGGAGGCGCCATTAGAATTGTTATTTTCTGGGTATAATTCCTTATAATCAGGCAAGGGAGCAGAATCAATCTTTCTGACCTTAGTCAACTCTACCGAGTTTTTCTGTTCACTTTTTTCTACACGCTGTCGCATATTAAGACCACTAGTAATAAGTTCACCAAAGCCTTCCTGGTGTGCAAAAGCGTAACCTGAACGCAAGGACCTTGTGCTGCGTCGAAGTGTGGAGGCACGTCTTATGTGAAGATCCTTTGAGCGTGATTTGGATTTTGTTAATCTCTGCTTCAGACGAATGCGATCTGAGAGTGAGGGATGGACATCTATATAATAAAACCTGTAGGCAATAATAGGTAACAGCAGTATGGTACAGGTTAGAAGCAGTGTAAACCAGAACTGGGCTGACGAGAACACCTGATAGGCCACGCCCTCGTAGGTGTAGTTAAAGGAACTTGCATACATGGCTGTGATGAAACAAAAGTAGTATATAATACTGCCCCATATTGCCACATGATGGAAAGCTGTCCAATATGTCATATCCATTGCACACTGGAAAAAGGAAGATTATATACAAATGTATAAAGTACAAGTAGTACATGTATCTATGTTTTAAGGATGTATAAAGTATAAGTAATATCAATGAGAAAATATTTTTAAACATCTATAACTAACAAACATATTAACAAATAAAGGAAACTATGATAAAATTGTGTTTTTCAAAATAGCACAAGGTTAAAATTATTGAAAAGCAAATATCAGTACAAACAATGTCTTTTAAACTTCCATAGCTTGTATGTGAGACTAGTAAAATAAAATGTCCAAAGTAGTTTACCCTTAGATTAACAGCCACAACTAGAGTGCTGGCCACAGCACAGCCTAGGGACTGATGATCAGTCAGATCTGTACCGTCATAATGGACACCGTACTTAAAGGCAAAGTAAGGTATGAAGAAGAGCACTAGTGATGTGATGATTCCCTCCCCCGCACTGAAGGCAAACACTTTCTTGTTGAACATGGAGTCCAGCAGTCCTGGTGTGTATAGCTTAGGGTATCTTAGTGAGTAGTAATCATTGACATCCTGTAAAAACAAAGTCCAACTTATCATTTAAAATTATACATATACATGAACAAACTTCAATACTGAAACTCTATTAATCTCTACTCCATTTAAAGCATGTTCATTTGTTATATTCTATTTCACAATGTTATAAATTCTATGTATGTGTGAAAATTAAACAATAAAATATATAGTGAAGTATTTTTTTTTTTATGAGAATTTTTCGATGATTAAAAACAAATAAGAATTATAAAAATTTA